AGGGAGCCATTTTAGGGTTGGCAAGAGCCTTGACTCTAGAGGGGTTCCCAGGGGTCCAGAGAGATGTCCCCAACTAGGTCCTGGGGCAGCTGAGGAGAGAGAGCCTGAAATGACCCGATCCTATAGCCATACTAATGAATATCTTGCATATCACCATAGAACCTTCATCTGGCGATGGATGGAGATAGAGACAGAGACCCACACTGGAGCACTGGACTGAGCTCCCAAGGTCCAAATGAGGAACAGAAGGAGGGAGAACATAAGCAAGGAAGTCAAGACTGCGAGAGGGGCACCCACCCACTGAGATGGTGGGGCTGATCTAATGGGAGTTCACCAAGGCCTGCTGGACAGGGACTGAAAAAGCATGGGATAAAACTGGACTCTCTGAATATGGTGGACAATGAGGGCTGCTGAGAAGCCAAAAACAATGGCACTGGGTTTTGATCCTACTGCATGTACTGCTTTGTGGGAGCCTAGCCTGTTTGGATGCTCACCTTCCTAGACCTGGATGGAGGGGGGGGGTGGACCTTGGACTTCCCACAGGGCAGGGAACCCTGACTGCTCTTCAGATTGGAGACGGAGGAGGAGAGGAGTGGGATATGGGGAGTTGGGAGGGGGAGGGAAAAGGGAGGCCTGGAGGAGGTGGAAATTTTTAATAAAAAAAAATTAAAAAAAAACGTTGTCATAGAACCTTTACCCAGCAAGTGATAAAAACAGATATAGAGACCCACATCAGGGCAGTGAGCTGATCTCCCAAAGTCCAGTTGAAGAGAGGGAGGAGCAAAAATAAGAACAGAAGTGCCAAGACCAAGACGGGGATACCTACAAAGACAGACAACCTGTGCCAATGGGAGCCCACCAATTCTTACCTCACAGTGGAGTAACCAGTATAGGATCAAACTAGGCCATCTGAATGTAGGTGACAGTGGTATGGCTGGGGAAGACTGTGGGGACACCGCTTATTGTATGGCTTTTTGGAACCCATTCTCTTTGGAGGGATACCTTGCTCGGCCTAGATATAGTGGGGAGGGCCTTGTTCCTGCCTCAAAGCAATGTGCTAGAAATAGGTGACTTCTTACGGGACGCATTACCCTCTTTTAGGAGTGGAATGGGAGTAGGGGGAAATCTAGAGGGTGTGGAAGAGAGGAAGTAGTAGGAAATGGGATTAGTATGTGAAATGAGAAAAGATATTTTTTAAACAAATAAATAATAGTTCTGTAGGAATTCTTAGAAAAGGTCCACCAGAATCAACCTTATTGCCTCCTGGGAAAGTAAAGATAATACAACCCATAGATATTAGTAATGTACTGCCTTACATTAATAGGATGAATGGCAAGTTAAGAGATCATTTCAATATAAACAAAGAAAGCATATGAGAAAACTTGATATATCTACAAGGTTAAAAATGACTGAACAGAGTAAGCATATAAAAGAGAATAAAGCAGAATCATCAAATGCCATAAAAGGTAGGTACACTGGAAAATTGACTCTATGCATTGTTGGAGTTGCTTCCTCCAGTACCAGATAGGAACAGATGCAGACACCCATAGCTGTACACGAGAGAGAGAGAGAGAGAGAGAGAGAGAGAGAGAGTTTAAACTGAAGATCTCCATCAAATTCTTCACATGAGAGATGAAGTAACTGCACAGAAAAGGATTTGGAAAGATTGTAAGAGTCAGAGGGGATGGAGGACAACAGGAAAACAAGATCTTGAGAATCAACTAAGCAAGGCTTATGTGAGCTCCCAAAGACTAAAGCAGCAAACACAGGGCTATATGGGTCTAAACCAGGTCCTATGCACATATATTAAAGCTATTAGCTTAGTATTTTTATTAGACTTCTGAGTATGAGAATGACCAGATCTCTGACTCTTTTGCCTGCTCTTGGGATTCCATTTCCTGTTGGGTTGCCAAGTCCAACATCCATTAAAATGTTCACTTCATCTTATTATATTTCAATTTGTCATGTTTGGTTTTGATCTTATAAGCTTATTCTTTTCTAATGAACAGACAGAAAGGAAGTAGATATTGAGGGGAGGTGTTATGGAAAAGAACTTGAAGGAGTAGAGAGAGAGGAAACTATAATAAGGATATATTATATTAAAAATTATTTTTAATTAATAAAAATTACCATGTTATCAGCAATAAAAAGATATCCATTGTCTCTAATTATTTTTGCTACAGTATCAGAATTTGAATTATTATAATAATTAAGAAGATAAAATATATAATTATTGAATTAAAAGTCAAATCATTCTTACTTGAGCATTATATATTTCTATACAAGGTAAATCTTAAAGACTTAACCAAAATATGAAAATTGAAAACAAAACTGGTTAGGTAATTCATTCATTGTCAGTATACAAAATTGTCAATATTCATTGTTATTATATAAAAATCAGTTTCTTTCTATAGACCATTTTTTCCTGCAAATTAACAATGAAAGGAATTTCATTATCATTAACATCAAAAACTTAATCTAGCAATGAACTTAACAACTGAAGTGCAAGACTTTAACCATAACTATTGGTTAACTGGTAAAAAAAAAACATAAAAGACAAAAATGGAAAAATCTTCTATGTTAAATTTTTAGAAGAATAAATATCAGTATTAATATTAAAATGTACATATTTCAAATGCCAATTATTATACTCCATGAAACCCCATTGAAACACCAATACCATTTTCATACAAATGGATTGGGGACCCTAAAACTTCAACGGATGTACAATAAAATGTGTAGACAACTAAAATTTGAAAGAAAAGAAAAATCCAGGAGATATCATAATACCTTATTTCTTTTTTTAATATTTATTTATTATGTATACAATAGTCTGTCTATATGTATGTCTGCAGGCCAGAAGAGGGCACCAGACCTCATTAGAGATGGTTGTGAGCCACCATGTGGTTACTGGGAATTGAACTCGGAACCTTTGGAAGAGAGGCAATGCTCTTAACCACTGAGCCATCTCTCCAGCTTCATAATAACTTATTTCAGTATACACCAGGAACCCCTCAGTAGCCAGAACAATATGACACTGGGATCAACAATCAAGTGAATGAGAAAAGAGATTTGAAAAATTGAACAGAGTTTCCATGATATGTTGGAAAACTGTTGGCATATTCAATAAATGCTACAAGAATAATCAATATCCATATGGAGAGAATTAAAATTTGAATCCTATGTCTCCTTCTAGGCAAAAATCAACCCAAAGTTGATTACAGACATAAATGTAAGAACAAGATAGTAAACTACAAGGAAAACAACAGAAAAACTCCTCATTGGGTTAGGACACTTAATATTTAGATGGGATCCTAGATCACAAGGCAAAAAACAAACCTTGATGAATGGAGGCTATCACAATGAAATGCTTGTATATAGCAGAGAACATAATCAATACAATAATGCAGTGATAGCCTACAGAATTGGAGAAAATTGTTGAATTATTCATTGTCAGGGGTTTATAGTTGTTTCCTATCTCAAAAATACAAATGGAACAAAAGAAACTTGAAATCTACTAATGGGAATATGAGTCTGAGTAGTTACTACAGACAATAATATGGAGATTCCATATACTGTTGTGGTATCCCTCTTTTGATATGAACCCAGAAGAAAAGTAACCAACCTACTCAACTTGTACTTAAATGTTTATTGCACATTGCTATGTCATCTAGGATGGGATAACTGTCTGGGTCCCCATCAGTTGATGAACTTATATTTGTATGTCAAATATGATTTAGACATTATAGATAATTTTTATTATTTTAGTTAGAAAGAAGGCATTTAAAGATTTAAGTGAAGTGAGTCAAACATAGGAATACGAGTCCTTCATGTTCTTTCTAACACAATGAAAGAAAAACTAAAATTCCTCTAGACTGCCTGTCAGTGATTAGTAGAAGTTAGATCATTTATCATAGGGAAGGGGAGCTTCTATGAGGGACATGGACTTAATAACTGCAAGGTCTATACAGGTGTGGTATATGTAGAAGAGTGGCCCCTGTATTGAATGGTTTTCTGTGTCAAATAGAAACTTGACCCCAGCTGGAGTCATCAGAGAGGAAGGAATTTCAGTTGAGGAAATGCCTCCATAACATCCAGCTATAAGGCTTTTTCTCAGTTAGTGATCAGTGTGGGGGGGACCAGTCCATGGCAGCCCTGGCAGTCCTAGAGTCTATTAAAAGGCAGGCTTAGCAAGCAGTAAAAAGTAAACCAGTAAGCAGCATTCCTCCATGTCCTCTACATCAGCTCCTGCCTTCAGGATCTTGTTCTGTTTGAGTTCCTCTGCTCACTTCCTTTGATAATAAGTAGAAATACAGAAGGAGAAGACAAGTAAACTCTTTATTACCCAACTTGTTTTTGATAATGTTGTTTAATCACAGCAATAGAAACCCTAACTACAGCAGCCTCCACTTACTTATATGTTGCTTATTTATCAGGGAGTGGTACCCCTTGAGTAGGACTGGGCTGTGGCTTTGTGGAGAAGGTGTAGCCTTGTTAGAAATGTGTCTCTGGGTGGTCTATAGCATCCTGCTGACTTTAGAGTCAGATATAGAACTCTCAGCTATTTCCACAACACAAAGTCTGCTTATGTGCTGCCATGATCCCCCCACATCATAATAATGAACTAACCTCTGAAACTGTAAGCAATCCCTGCTTAAACACTTTCTTTTACAAGATTTGCTAGGGTCATGGGGTCTTTTCAAAACAACTGAACATCAACCGAGGCAATTGGTATGGAAATATAATGCTGCCCCCAAGTTTTATGGACATCAATTCATGTGAGTGAAAACACAATAATAAAGAATAAGTTGCATAATTATATTTGTCAGCTATTTTTATATAAAAAGAATCCATTAATCTTGTTTTCCTCATATGCTGATATTTGGCAGTGAAGCACTAAGCAACAGACTGCTTTTGATCTGTGAATGTTTTTTATTAACAGAAAAATATACATATCAAGAAACTGAATCTCCTATGATCTATGAGAAAGAGGTACTTACGTAAACATTTTGGTGGCTCAGACCACTCTCCATTTCTACATGTTATTATCTTGTTACCCTGCAGTTGGTACAAGGACTGGCACTGATATTCAACTGACGATGATGGTTCATATATTCGTAAAAGGAAGGAGGTGATGTCCCCATTGTCAATAGGTGGAGGAGGCCCACATTTCTCTGTTGAATCTAAGAATGACAACATTTGAATGATTTACAGATCAAATCAAAGTACAGGCTTAAACAGAACTAATGAAAGCACAGTTTAAACAAGACTTTAGTGATTTATGGCTACAGAAATGATTCCTTGAGGAAATTTCAATCATATAGACTCAGTGTTACAAGTTTTTCCTTCCTTCTTACCTAAAACACTTACTGAACTGGAGCAAGCATGTCTGTTCTGAAGACTTCCAGTGTTGGTATATGTCTTAACAGCTGCTAAGCATACAGACACTAGTGAAGTCAGGCAGGGTTTCTTGGTTTTAAGGTACTGGAGTATTCATTCATTGCTCTATATATTCCTAATCTTCAATATCATTTTAGAAGCATATTTATAGACAAGAATTTAAAGCTTTTAAAGTTACAGAAGGAAAATGAGGCTCTCCCGATTCCTCATAGAGATAAAGAAAGTATACTCTTCTCTTTGTTATACTTTTGCTAGTTACAACAGGAATTCATGTATATATTATTTTTAGTACGCAAAATAAGAAATTGAGAGTCTAGTTACGAGATTCAAGCCTCAAATAATTGCACAATGCTATGTGATATTTGTTTCTCTTCTGTACTTCTGATTGTGCTGCTGAGGTCACAGGAAAAGACTGAAATTAAGTACTAATAGATTGTACTGTTGAGTGAGATCACAATGGGAGCATCATGAAACTGAATTAAACTCCAACATTGTTTAGACAAAAAGGAAATGTTCAAGATCTAAACAAAATATTTCAGTTTGGAGGAAAATGAAAAAAACTGTTGGCTATAAAGCAGCATGTACATATTTTAGAGATGATTAAACTCAAACTAACAAGTCCCATGAAGGCAATGAAGATACATGTATTTAAACTGCTTAAAGAAAACATCTTGAAACATAACAACTTTATGAAATCACCATCCACACTGGATCAAGATCCAAAAAAATTAACTCTCCTTTTACCACCATGGAGGCCGTAGGAGGTGAAAGGAAATGAGTGTCAGCCTTGAATTCTATCTCCGGTGGAGCTAGCTTTTTTAATTAATGAATTTGACATTAATGAAGACAACAAATTAAACAAAGTATAGAGGATTTTTCTCCAACAGAGAATTTCTCATAAAAATAAGTACCAGAATTCATCACAGAAACAAATATTTTAATTAAAACTTTGGAGAAATTAACTGCTAAAATATTAGATGATCTTTCTTCTCATAAAATTATGTTTATCTTTGAGATAAAACCTAGCATTTGAGAATGGTGCTCAAGACATGTAACAAAAAATCCTAAAGGAGTCTTTAAGCAAGATTTGGAAAGTGGGAACCATAGATAGATTTCAAAGGTAAGTACACCCTCTAGTTTTTCTTTGGAATATAAAATATCTGCATCAGTAAGGGATGACAAGATGTAGCACAAATTCGAATTGGTCTTAACAATAAAAACCTGGAGTCAGATATCATGGTAATGCTAAAAGATCAGAGAAGAAAAGGAGCCAGACACTAGTTCTTACCTCTACTGAATTCTCGAACCAAAGTGGCGATCCTTTCCTTAAGAATCTTCAGAATGAATGCCCTATGTGCACTTCTCCTCTGGCCTTATAGTCCTCTCTCCGCCCAGCCATATCACTCCTGTATCCACCTCCCTAATCCTGGGATCAAAGGTGTGAACTCTTGTTTCTTTTTTAGACTAGTTCAGTCTCAAGTAGCCCAGGGTGTACTTGAACTTGTATAGATGTCTCTCCCTCTGTCTCCCAAGTGCAGGATTGAAGTTGTATGCCACCACTGCCTGGTCTCTATGGCTAATTAGTGCTGTTAGCTCTGCACTCTGATCTGCAGGAAAGCTTTATTTGATACAGCATGAAAATATCATCACAGGCAAGTACACAAATACCTAGGGTGACCTCAATTATAGGTTGTTAGGAAATTATCAGAGTAGTATGCTCAAACTATATACTCAAAATCAAGAAAAGAGGCATGTCAAAATAAAGTTTTTGAGAACTATTCCTCCGAAGCAAGGGGTAAAAGGAGAAATAAGATGGATAATCAAAGAACACAAATACAAATTAACAAAACAACATACAGCAGCCATACTAGCTTGTTTCACAGGCAAATGATCTGAATGCATAGCCTTGAGTGGTGGACTAGGCAAAGTTTCTCTATAGATATGATGTAAATTTATGCATCAAAATGTATAGATCATATTCAATAGTAAGTGATTACTTGAGATAATTTGGGGAATTTCTGTTCTTATAAAACTAAGTGTCGACATGTACTCATAAGGAATTCCCATTTTTTGAATTCAACATGTAAGAAATAATGAAATCCCATTGCTCCTTGCCCCTCATCACGTGCCAGGTAGAAGAGCTAGCTTCTGTGGTGATGAGAGTGGGAAAGCTGGCCCTGCTTCTCAACAGTTGTAGAGTTATCCCTACACCTCGACGGAGCAGCACAATAGAGCTGACTTTGTTGGTGAGGACACATATGAGCTGGTCCCTAGTACATGAGAGTAGAGAAATGGCCTCTCATTTGCCATGTGGTGGCATGGGTGAGGGAAATATGCCTTCCCTTCCCTCACCCCTTGACATCTGCACCAGGAAGAAGAATTGACCTTGGGTTCATGAGATTGACAGAGCTGGCCCTGTCCCTCACCAACTGCAGCAAGTGGGAGAATGTGACCCTGAACCTTGCCTGGACAGCCCAATAGGCCTGGCCCTGATGGTGCAGATATAATTGAGCCAGCTGGAGTGAATGAGAAAAGAACAGGCCCTGCCCCTTGATGCCTGCTGTACTGGGTGAGCTAGCCAGGGAAGTGCTGGAAAGTTCTCCCTGGTGATGAGGATGAGGGAGAGTTGGTGAGCTGACCAACACAGTTACCATCCAGGCTCAGACCCAGGTCTAAGAGTTGACCCATCTATGATCTGCTGGAGCACATGAAGAGGCCAGTTCTGTGGATCCAAACCTGCAGGATCTCCACGACACAGGGCAACAACAGGATATCTAAAAAGAGTCCCAGTGAGGGCCCAGTATCAAAAGATTAGCAGAAGCTAAGGGTCTCAACCCAACTAATGACTCATTTCAGTCAACACGAAAGAAAAAATATGTGTATTAAATTGTGTACTGAGTGACTCACTATGCCATGCTACAGCTTCCATGTTGAAATGTTTTTCTTTCTTTTAAATTTTATGTTATTTTATTTTGGGAGGAGATTGAAAGGGCAGGAGATGGATATGAAGGGACTGGGAAATGAGTGGAATCAGGATTATGGTGTATAATCCAGGATTATGTTGTATGTATTATAGTATATAAAAGTCTTTTTAAAGAAAGGAAGGAAGGAAGAGTGATAAAGAGAGAGAGAAAAAAAGGGAAGAGAGACGGAGAGGGAGGGAAGAAGGAAAGAAGAAAGAAGGAAGAAAGGGAGGGAGGGAGGAAGGAAGGAAGGAAGAAAAGGAGGAAGGAAAAAAGAAAGATAAGAAGGAAGAGAGGTAGGATGGTAGGAATGAATGAAGGTGCTGCTTGCATTTTTAGGTCTGTTGAGCTATAGAGAACAAGCACAGCTTTGCCATGTTTCTGGACCTGGGATGATAGGAACTCATCCAGGAGCTTGCCTGATGCTCCTAGTGCTGGGCATTCAGGAGTGAGAAAGGAATGGTGAAATGGGAGAGAGCAGGCAGAATGATTCTTGTGCTTGTGATAGAGGCAAATCTGAAGTGTCAAGGGTGGTGAGAACAGGCTGAGATAGATGCCCTGTTCCCCATGGGGCCATGATGATGTCTGGGCCTGAACTGCAGTCAAGGGCCATGACTCATTCTATGGCCCTGGTGAACCTCTGCGTTTCTGGGATGTCTTTGACTCCTGTTACCACCCAAAGCAGTGAGGATAGGGATGCAGAGTTGCCTGGTCCTCACTGGCTGCATCACTATGTAGAACTGGTCCTGTTACTTACAACCGCAGCACCAGAGATATCATGCCCTGCACATCCCCATGGCAGCACAATAGAGCTGTCCCAGGTAAAAGGGGTGTGGGTGAGCTGGCCCTGAAGATCCAAGAGAGGGAGAGCTAGCACAGTGATATGACACACAGTGGCATGGGCAAGGGAGAGGTACTCCATTTGCCCCTTTCCCCTGGCCCCTCACCACCTACTGCAGGTGGGAAAAGTTGGTGTTGGGGTCACATGAGTGGTAGAACTGATCCTGGCTCTCACTAGGGCAGCACATGGGAAAATGGGCACAATACCTCACCTTGTCAGCACACTAGACATGACCCTGTTAGTGGAGGCACAGGTGAGCTGGGCACGTGGGAGTGAGAGGATATCTGCCCCGACCCTTGCTCATATGCCATGGAGTGGCAAGGGTAAGGAAATACCCCCCCACCACTTCCCTTGGCAACTACACCAGAGAGGTGGGAGAACTAGAGCAGGCATATGATAACAGAAGAGCTGTTCCTACTCCCCATAGGACCAGCAATTCAGAGAGTGGGTCCTGCTTCTCCCTGGGCAAGGCAGTAGAACTGGCCCTGCTGATTTGAGTGCATGTGAGCCAGACCCTAGGGTGTGAAAGCAGGAACACTGGTCCCATTCTTTGATGGCTTCTTTGGTGAGCTACTCAGGACAATGCTGGAGACTTTGTTCTGGTGGTGATGATGAGGGAAAGCTATCAGGCTGACCAACCCAGCTACCACCTAGGACCATAAGGAGGACTACAAGGTAACCCATCCCAACATCCACCTCACCTATAAATTTCTGTACTGTGTGAAGGGGTTAAAACTGCAGATCCAAAGCTATAAGATCTCTGTGACACATGCAAAACTAAAATATCAAAGAGGCGTCCCAGTGAGGGCCCGGTATCAGCAGTGTAGCAGAATCCAGAGACCTAGAATCAGACCAATGACTCATTGCAAGAAACACTTACAATTAAAGGAGTATGGACCAAGGGTATACTATGTGACTCATTGGATCACACTATAGTTTCAATGCTGATATTTGATATTTGTTTTGTTTTTTGTTTGTTTTATTTAGTTTTTTGGGTTTTACTTTTAAATTTTGTTTTGGTGGGGAGGACGTCAGGACAGAGGGCAGATGCAAGGGGAAAGAAAGATGAGTGGGATACATGATGCAAAATCCACAAAGAATCAATAAAACATTAAAGAAAAGAAATGGGGAAATCAAACAACAAAGAAATTATATTTTACAATATGTAGATATTCTATTAAACTTTCCATTTGCATTTCAAAGTAAATATTTTGAAAATTTTTATCTTGCTTAATATAAATGTATTTTATGCATTTAATAGTCAATAGATAACTGAGTGATTTAAGATTTAAAGTGATTAATTTTTCCTTAGTGGAAATATTCCTAAAATGTGATAGAATCTTTGTTGAAAAATTTCCACCATAATTTCTCATTAAATTCACCAAGACAATTAAAACTTTGTCAATATCATTTTATTTTCTTACAGTTTGTTTATTAGCTTATCATTTAATGGCTGAGATATCTCTAGAGAGAACTTACCCCACATGCCTGAATTGCCAGGAACCAAAAATTGCCCAGAGGAATAGGATCAGTTCCTTGTTCAGTTATTATCAGAGAGGCTTCCTCCAAGAGCAGATGGGAGTGGGTGCAGAGACCCACAGTCAGACCTCACAGGGAGTCTAAATTGGAGGAGGTGGTTATTGGATACCTCACTTGGAGATCAGGGAATCACACAGAAGATGGGGAGGAAAGACTGTAGGAGTCAGAAGGGATGAAGGATCCCAGGAGAACATATCCCATTGAATATTCTCATCAGGTTTCACAGAAACTGAAGCAGCAAACATGGGTCCTGCATAGGTCTACAGTGGGTGCTCTGATATATGTTATGGCTTTTAGCATGATGCTTTTCTAGGCCTCCCACAGTGGTTATGGGTGTATCTCTAAAGCTTTTGCCTGCTCCTAATATTCTTTTATACCTATTGAGTTACCTTGTACAGCCTCAATATGAGGTGGTTTGACTTGTTTTATTGTATCTTGTTTTGTCCTGTTTGGTTGTTGTCTCTTGAAGGTCTGTTCCATTCTGAAAGGAAATGTTGAAGGAGTGGATCTGGAGAAGAGTGGCTATGTGGCGGAAAGGAGTGGGGAGGAGTGGAGGAAGGGGAAATTTCAGTAGGGATGTATTGTATGAAGGAAGAATCTGTTTACAGTTTTAAAAGAAAAAGGAAAAGTTAGAAAAGTGCTTCTCATAAGAATTGCTTCACTTGCCCAGATGATGGTGGTGCATTCCTTTAATCCCAGCACACGGGAGGCAGAGGTTGGTGGATCTAGGTGCCTTTGAGGCCATCCTGGTCTTTAAGAGTTAGTTCCAGGACAGCTCATGCTGTTACACAGAGAAACCCCATCTCAAAAAAAAATTAAAAAGAAAACCCGTCTTAAAAAAAAAAAAAGAATCACTTTGTCTTCACTAATGTACTAAATTACATTGTCAAATAAACAAACATTGGGAAATAGGGGAATATGAAAACTTACCTGTGCATTTTGGTGGTTCTGTCCAAATCCCATTTTGACATATCACTTCTACTTCCCCTAATATTTCAAAAGGTTTATTACATTCATATTGTATTCTTTCACCGGACAAATATTTATCAATGTGCTTTGTTACTATAGCAGCATTTTCCACATGTGGTGGTTCTCCACAGGATTTATCTAAAGAGAAAAGGAGAGTACCATTAGCTATTTGTTCATCTTGAGTATCCAATCAACACATGAGATTTAAAATGTATTTCTTAACAGATAAATAGATAAAGGTAATGTGGCACATTTACTTTTAAAAAAACCATGCACACATAAACACACACACACACACACACACACACACACATGAACTCACTAAATTTACAGGTAAATATATAAAACAAGAAAAGAGATCATTCTGAGTGAAGGAATACCGATCCAGAAAGACATATGATGTGTATTTGCTTACATGGATACTAACCATTAAGCCCATGATAGCTAAGCTACGGTCCATAGAACATAGAGGTTAGGTTAGGTATAGAGTAAAAGACCTGGGGAGAGAATAGTCTCCATAGAATGTGGAAATAGTGTATATAGTTATGGATGGAGAGGGAAGAGAAGGAACAGAATACAGGGAAGGACAGCTAAAACTATGAATCATTCGAGGGTTATTATGGAAACAAAACCAAAAAAACAGTAGAAATTTCTTAAAATACATACATATATAAAAACAATCTAAATGAAATAACCAAAACCATGGGGATATAGAGCCAAAATGGACAACTCTTGTCATCAAATGAAACTTCTGGTATCATGATTTGGTTACAATGAGTTGAATTAGTGCCCAAAGAGTTCACATGAGAACTTCCAAAATACCTAGGCTGTTGGCAAGACTAGGTTATTTTACTTAAACTGGAGACAAGGCTACAACTGTGAAATACAACACCTTCCCAACTCACTGAACATAGCACAGTCAAGCTGGTACCTACATATAGCACATTCAGTCCCACAGGCATCAGTGGTACAGGAAGGCATTTTGTATGCTAAAAAATTAGAAAAGAGTACGAGTTCTCTCTTCTCCCACCTCATATTCCTCTCTAGTGCTGGGATTAAAAACATGCACTATCATTGTCCAGCCTCTATGGTTAAGTAGTGTGGCTGTTTGCCTTAAAAGTCTAACCTGTCACCACTGCCTGGCTTGTATGGCTGACTAGTGTGACAGAGTAGTGTGGCCGACTAGTGTGGCTGACTTTGCACCATGATATTCAGGCAAGCTCTATTTATTAAAACACAAATAATATATCACTATACAAAATCCATAGCGATAAAAGAATAGCTCCACATGACATACTTCTATAATCATAGATCAGTGCCTTACTCAGCTGTCATCAGAGAAACTTTATGTTTCAGAAGATAGGAACAAATACATAGACCCAAGGACAAACATTATGTAGAAACCTTGGAACACTCCAGGTTTATCCTGGAATAATTCCATCAAATCCCTCCATGGCTCAAGGAACCATTCAGAAGAGGAGGTGAAAAGAGTGTAAGAACCAGAAGAGATAAAGAACAAACAAACATTCCATCTTCTCTAATCCTCTAGAATATTAGTATTGATAAACAAACAACATCGATGCACCCATGACACTGAGGCAGCATTCAAGAGCCTTTATGGGTCTGCAGTAGATGGAATTTTAGAGCTAAAAGGAGAAGGTGAAACACACCAACATCTCCAACCGAGAAGCTGTCTCCAGTTGATAACCAGTTGTAGATGAAAATTTAGAGTTCTGCAAGGAAGTATCACATGAGAAACAAACTACTCTCAAGGTTTACTGCATGAAACAAACTCAAAGACTGCTCTGGACATTCTTTGTCTCTTTACTGTCCAATTAGGGCTTTTCTTTTTCTCTTTTTAAACTTCATTTTTTAAATTTTTGCTTTGGTTTTTATTTTATTTGGAGTTTCCCTCTTTCTTTTACCCTTCAGGGCCTTTTCATACATATTGGGTTTTCCAGTTGAGTGTTTTATGGGATTCCTGGGTGTGTAAATGAGTGGGGCTCTGAGTCCATTATCAGTTTCTTGTCTTTTCTTCTGCTCTTTTCCCTCAGATTTTTTATCCCACTTTAGTGTGATTGTTTCACTCAATTATTGTTCTTTAGAAGGCTGTTTCTTTTCTAATGAAATATAGAAAGGAGATTTGTGCAGATGAGATAGTAGGTGGGAGGAACTGGGAGAAATCAATGGAGGAAAAGACATAATCAGGATATATTATGTGAGAAAAATCGGTTTCCAACATAAAAGAGAAAGCTTATTCCAAGAATAACTTAAGTATAAGAAAATGATGATCAAACAAAATAACTCTTTCTTTCTTTCTTTCTTTCTTTCTTTCTTTCTTTTTTCAAGACAGGGTTTGTCTGTATCTTTGGAGCCTGTCCTGGTACTAGCTTTTATAGACCAGATTGGCATCGAACTCACAGAGATCTGCCTGCCTTTGCCTCCCAAGTGCTGGGATTAAAGGCATGAGCCACCACCATCTGGCTTGAAAGGTGATTCTTAGCTATGTATTTCCAAATGTTAATAGCCTACAACATTGGTTTTCAAACTGATTTTGCCAGGAATCAGAGAAGGATATTAGAGTGAATTCAAGATCTTCCATCTAGAGGTTTTCTATATAATATCTCTAGGATGAGCTCCTCAGTGATAAATTACATTCATAAACCTAGTCCAAAGATATCGATGATTCTGGTCATGGAACCACACTCTGGAGACCATCTCTATATTAGCCATTTGGTTTTTATATCATGTTTTTATTTTAAAAATAAACCAAATTCATCTTGCTTTTAAAACCTAACTTTTGCCTACTTTTAAATTTTGCTACACTTTTTTTATCAGTCCTTTACATCTATAATAAATATATTTCGAAACTGTCAAACTAACTTTACATATCAGCTCTCCAATCCACGTGTGGTTAACACACGTCACAATTTTGAACTCATTCATATGATTAGAAGGTGCACATGTGAATGTTACTTGTTCACATGACCTATATGAACAGTTTTCCTCTCTGTGGGTAAAGAATTTTTTAAACCTGAATAAATGGTCACAATCAGTGCATGAAAGAAAAATAATATAGCGGGTTTTGTTTCCAGGAACTGTAGGATATAGAATATATGAAGGAATAGTTAGGTTCATAGAGATGGTAAATACTGAAGATTTCCTATTTTATTTAGGAGTTCATAATTGTAGATTTATGAAAATAAATGAAGTAGGAATGACATTGAATATAGAACACTGATAGTGATAATTCTTTATTTTCATTTTGGTGTCATTTTTTTTCTCCCATATGAAACTATGATAGATTTCTACTTTGTATGTTCATCAAATGTAAATTAATTACAATTATGATTTCAAAATGTTAGATCATATGTAGTCGTACTAGCATTGCTGTTAAAACCATCACTGGAGTGATGACCCTTTTGAATAGAATGTTCTAGAAGTTGGAAAATGTTGATAGCTCAGACTACATGAAGTGAAAATGAATAACTGGGCTCAAAGATCAAACTATGTTTTAATAGTACTGTGTTTGTTTGCCAGCATACAACAAAATCTGATATGCTAGAATTACAGTTTACTTTCTTATTTGTGCCATATATGTCTTGAATTACATAATCTATTACACAAAGTATGAAAACAACGCTATACTTCTGCAAGCTGGTGGCTGGGACCACTTTCCTCCTACACATTTAATAAATGCTGTTCAACAATTCCAAAGCCTTAAGAACAACTGTATGCCACCTCTTCTTCATGTTTATAACTGTCTAGTTCACAAGACACAATACCATGAAGGATTGAAGGTGGAGGTCCACAAAGAAATCTTAAAAATTATACAGTGAGAAGAACAGAGGGAAATGATTCCACATTGCAGTAAGTCAGAAACTCACTTGTACGTGTCAGCTCTATGTGTAGTAGTTCTAGAGGGAAATGTGAACATGGAAGATGTGCCAGCACAGAAGAGGTGGACAGTGTATCGTAAGTACATCTTCTGTTTCCTTGTATCTGCTAAATTGCTTCAATACTGAGCAAGAACTTGACAGAAACATGTCTTGACAAATCATCAGTGACAAAATGAATTTTAAAAAAAGAAATAAGAATCTCAGAACACATTGCATTTACTGTGGGGGTGGGAGACACTGAGGATTTTAACACCTGGTAACAAAGGAAACACTAACAACTCACATGGGTTCTCAACGACACAACGAGGTGGAGCACTCCACTTCCCCATGTGGCAGGTTACCCCGTGCTCCTCAGCCATCCTAAAGCCATCATCACAAACATAGCTGAGTGTAGTGCCGTGTTCATAACTTCTGGACTCTGCTGTGTCTCTCCTTTCTTCTGACAATCTGGGTAGTTTAATCGATCCGTGGTTTATTTCAGGGGGCTGAGAACATGGAATTTTCACTATTTGAAGAACAGAAATGAAATAATGAAGCACAAACAAAAATTTTACATTGGAAAATAAAAACAGTTTGGATTATGTCTCCACAGTTTTAATGTTAAGCCCTAGTTTTTCAATATCCTTCCCCTTCACTTTCGTTCTCTTCAGTACTTAAAGAAAGAATGTTATAAAATAAGCCATAGCTACTGACCAATGCAGAGTGGTAACGACTGCCACCTTCCGTCTTTGCACACCATCTCTTCTGTGTTCTGTAATACGTAATTATCTTGACAAAGAACAGATACTTTTTCTCCATCCCAATATTTCACTGTGGTTTCCAACACTTGGGCATTTGGAATCTGTGGTGGGGGAGGGCAGAATTCTTTCTCTACTCCTAAAAAAAATATTCAAAATTGGAGTTTTTGACAAAGATAGTATCTTTAATTATTGAAGTAATAATTTTAATTAAATAACAAATTAATTATGACCACATAATAATTACATATATTTTACTTTTCACCTGGTATAGCAATTTTCTAGCTATTCTTGTCCTACTTTGAATGGTTGTCATTGTCATTCACTCTTTTTTAAATCAGTTTTACAGAATTTTTATAAAACTTATTCCATTTTATTCTAGCCTTTATGATATTTTTAATGAATTTTAAGATTAAATATTTCAAATTAAGGTTACATGGAAATTTGAATATCTATGATCTAATATGTTGGATTAAATTAAAGGTCCTTAGAGAGTGTGCTGATGAAATTGATACTTACATTTAGTTAGAATACTAGTGAATTTTCTCATAGCTGTGACAAAATGCCTGACAAAGCAACTTTGGAAAGGAAGGGTTTGGCTTAGCTCATCATGTAGTGCAGTTATGGCAGTCCAAGTGTGGAGCAGCTAGTCATACTGTGTCTATTGTCAGGACGGGCACAGAATTAGTGCAGATGTTTGGCTTATTTTCCTTTTCATTTATTCCAAGACCCCTGATCATAAAATGATGCCACCTACATTTATGGTGCAACTTCCCACCTGAGTTTGTCCAAACTAGAAATGTTCTCTCAGTCATGCTCAGAGCTGTTTTTCCTAAGTCACTTTTGTCAAGTAAACAATAAGTATTAATCATTACACTTTGATAAAGAATTTTACATTGACTCTTGGTCAATGAGAGTATAGGGTGTGCTCACAAATGTTTCAAAGCATGTTATTCAAAATTTCAGCTTTCTGGACATCCTATTTATTGTGAACTGGTTTAGAGATGTGAAAACTGCTGGCATACATCCAGGATAATGAGTACTTAGTACTGGCATTAACACCCTTTTGAAAAGTTTTGTCTGAGTCACTACAAAATCAAGACATTTCAGATTCATCTTGCAGATTCAGAACATGACAGTGTGCTTTATTAGTGATTATTAATAATCTCTTTTTTGATCTCTGCTTATTTATAGTGGATGGAAGGACTTGAATGAAATGAGTGTTTGTGTAATAAGTATATTTTTTCACATTCTTTAAAAAACTAGCTGGCTGTACAGGAAAGAAAAACAATTAGCTCCTTACTTCATACTATAATCAAAATGAAATCAAACATGATAAAAATAGAGGCAATTACAGAATGGCATGTGCCCTCCATTACAATGTGTGTAATACTTTTGATTTTCAAATCGCATGGGAATATTTTCAGTGAATTTCAGACTTTAAGAAATAGTTTAAGATATTTAGTGAGATAGGCATCCAAAATAACAGGGATAAATACAAATAGGGAAGCAAAAATAGTGCAATCAACTCTTGCCTATTTATTTGGAATTGGAGGTATCATATGTCAGATTTATTGTTACTAGTATAAATAAATTATTGGATTGATAATACACATAACCATACAGAAGTGCATGATGATTAAGTATAGGCATAGGAAGGGCATATCACATTTATTGTGATAAAATAATTAGATGTAATGGAACTCTGAGAGTGAAGGGACCATTACTACAAGGAGGTAAATTCATGTTAATTAAGTTTGCCTGTGTTTTTTAAACTACAGGTCACTTAAAAAGGTGATAGTAATTTCTAAATCATTTTATATACTGAAAAGTATTTTTCCAAGATATCTGTTTTAATATCTTCCTTAATATAAGATGTAGTAGATGAACCCATAAAATCTCAAAAGGATGGACACTTAAACAAGACCTGGATGATGGCAATACCAGTTGGCATGTCAATGTGGATAGGGAAGAAATCTTACAAGGCCCTTCCCCTACATCAAAGGTTCTCAACCTGTGGGGCACAATCCCTTAGGGGTCTAATAACCCGTTTTCAGGGTTACTTAAGACATTCTGAAAACACAGATATTTACATTATGATTCATAACAGCATCAATATTAGAGTTATGGAGTAGCCATGAGGTTAGGGGTCAACATGAGCAACTTCAAAGGGTGATAACTTTAGGAGGATTGAGAAGTATTGCCTTAGGTGAAGATCTACAGGCAATTAATGTCTATTGAGAATAGGAGAATCAATTTTCTCCAGGGATGTGTGACCTAAAAAATAGGTTATCCAATTTCAAATTCTTAGTCATAATCACATATCCATATGAAAAACAATAAATGAACTCATCAGGCTGAATTTATATATATACAAGTTGTTTGTGTATATACATTGGGTGTATATATACATATATACACCCAATATATACATACCCAATATATATATATACATATATATATACATATATACACCCAATATATACATACCCAATATATATACATATATATACATACATATATCCATGTATATGTGTATATATACATATGAGTTTATATGTGAATAAGAGGTCATGAATTGGACAGGAAGTACAGGGGACACAGTATATTTTTGAGTGGAAGTGGGAAAGTTGAAAATTATAAAAATTTGGGATTCACATAGGAAATTCTGAAGAACAATTACTATGTTTTAAGAACTTAAAGCTAAAGCCGGGTGGTGGTGGCGCACGTCTTTAATCCCAACACTCAGGAGGCAGAGGCAGGCAGATCTCTGGGAGTTCGAGGCCAGCCTGGTCTACAAGAGCTAGTTCCAGGACAGGCACCAAAGCTACAGAGAAACCCTGTCTCGAAAAACCAAAAAAAAAAAAAAAAAGGACTTAAAGAACTTAAAGCTACTATTATTACAGGTATGACCACTAGGAGACAGAGCAAACAAGAACTTACTTGTACAGGTTGGTTCAGGATCCCATCTTCCATTGATGCAGATTGACTGTTTATACTCCTGGTTTCCTTTGCATTTATATCTTATGATAACAGTATGATTAAATTCATTCTTATTGGAAGGAGTTGCTTCAATTGAGTATGGTGCTTTACACTTCTCTAGTTTATCTTTTGCTTTGTGAAAATAATTACAGGAAAAATTAAAAACAATTACAAGAAGTGAGATAACTGCCATATTAAAATAGCTACAGAATATTCACTGTACATATGAAACTATTATATATACTCATAAATTCTGCCAACTAAATTGCTAAGGTTACTATACAGGTTACAATGGTGTTAGAACTAGACCTCATGTCAAGTCCTGTACATCTCAGAGACAGTGTTTCGTGAAGGGAAACAGGTACTAGGCAGAGGAAATCATTGTCTGCATAGGAAATGATTATGATGTGTCCAGGTTTGGTCCCCTATTTGAAAGCTGTGAAATGCTCACATTTTTTGATTTCCCCTTATCCTAATTTTAGTCCATAATGTTAAATATATTAAAATAAAAACATGAGTGGATAGATTGTAAGAGGTTTGCTAGTTTGAATTTTCTTTTTTGATAGATCTATAATTTTAAAAGAATATCTAAGATATATTGTACATAAAACAATTATTTGAGAGTCAGATTTGTATATTAGATGCTTGTAGTCACCATCTCTCTCCTTTATATTCCCTTCATAAAAGTCAATAAGAAGTCATTTCCTATGCTAGATCATCCTATAATATAGCAATACTATGTCATAAGAATAAAACTGTTTGGTTGTGTTATGGCTTAAGAAAGGGTGATATATATATATATATATATATATATATATATACCTTTTAATATGTCATGCACTATAATTACTAACTGAAGATGAAAGTCCTTATTGAATTTGACAAAATTTCAGTATATGTCCAGAATAACATTGTTATTAATAATTTGAAATGAAGATTGCAATGTGTGCAGATATGGTGAATAAAAGTAAGTTATTAGCCAAAGCTCTATAAACTTACTTTAAAACAATACTTACATATTGACTAGAGTGCTTCAAAACCTCAAGACACCCTAGAAATTATCCCTTCTTTAAGACTGATTTACAGGAAGACAAAAAAAGCTGTAAAGGTAAGTGAAGGAATACCAATAGTTGTGGCGGAATGGTGTCTCTGATTGATTTCTTTCATAAGAGTCTCTTCTATGTAAAGATAAAGGTATAGACATGGAGAAGAAAATGCATAGGGGCAGAATAAAAGTGTTTGTGCTGTAAGCCTAAGGTTGCAGCACAGCTTATGATAACTGAGAAGGGTAATGTGAAGGTCACTAAAGGGAGACTATCTATCAGAACAAAACCTCAGAAATCTGAGAAAAATAATAAAATAGAATTCTGTAACAGAATGGAGAATTGTTTTCATTTTGGATATGTAAAAAAATATCCAACTTTTACTCCATATTAATTTATTTGTTAAATATTTTTAAAATAGTCATGTTAATGGGGTTTTAAAGTAATGAAGATAGAGATTAGAAAAACTGTGTTTTTCAAATTTGAGTTTTTGAGTTCGTCAGTCTTCTGTGTATGGAGAATATATCACTAAACAACACAGTTATAAGTGCCCTTTCCTAAGGACCTTCATTTTTCTCTAGCATTAACCAACACTTAAAATTATGAAGAAAAATAAATATTGGGTATTAATGATATTCTGAAGTAATAAAACAAGAAGACCTCAGTTTCTGAGAAAAGCAAATGTAATCATCAAGATGCTGTTACCTACTTATTAAAGATTCAGTGACCAAAAGAACAGTGATGGAAGTTATTACAGAGTAAAGTCACCCATGAGATAATGTTGCCCTCCTAAACCCAGTCTCTTAGGTATAGCTCAGTTCTATGGCCAATGAGAGGACCAGTGGTCCAACCCTAATCACAATGACTTCAGTTTACAAACTGTAGAACAGCTAGAAACATAATAAAAGTACTGGGAGAGGAAAGTTTGCTATGGGAGAGTAGGAAATGGTTGCTTTACACACTTGATTTCTTAGTTTTACATGATATGGAAGGAGAGTGCCATATGATAACATCAATGCTATTTTGTAATGTCATATTTTCTAACATATTATTATTCACATTTTATTCAGATGAGAATTTATACCTAACAACTAGTTTTAACGTAAGTTAAACAACAATTTGCATATTATATTAATAATTTCCATTCAACTGTAGACACACATTAAATTATAAACAACAAAAGTTTGGATATATATTATTTAGGACTAGATTGTTCTAAGAAGGTTTCTAACTAAAATATATGTGGAACTATTACTGCAAAAATATTACATTTTATGAAGTATCAATTTGAGGCACATAACCTTACCAACACACTGAGGAAGCTGGGTCCACCTTCCACTAATGCATGAAACTGACCCATGTCCAATCATCGTAAATGTTTCCTTGCAGGTGAACTCAACTGAATCTCCATGGTAGTAGGGAGGGACAGAAAACTGGACAAAGCCATGCTCAAGTTGAGGAATGTCTGAACATGTTCTCTCCTCTTCTGTAGATAGATTTTTCACAAATGTTGTGATTAAGATATCATATGAGAAACAAAACAGTGTCTAAGTAGTAGCATTTTTATTACCAACACATGTTGGCAAGGTTGTCCAATTCCCATCCATGCACTGGATTTTATTGGGTCCCTTCAGTAGAAATCTAGGCTTGCAATCATATTCCACCACTTCACCATGGCTGTATTGTTCTTTCTTTGTTCCATTGAATTCCCCATTGAAGAGTTCAGGTGGTTGATCACATGTTCTCACTTGACCTACTGTAGAATATTGTGTACATATAAATGAAAATGTCCATCTTGCAGTCTAAAAATCTAATTAAAGAAAAATCTTACAAGAATTTATTCATCATATCACTTTCTATAACATTTTATTAAATCAGTATTATATACACTAAATTCACATTTCACAGTTGTAACATGTCTGCTCAAAGAGCATTGAAAGCATATTGAAGGTGGTACAATGTTTGATAAACATGATGCCTTGAAATTGCATGAAAACAGGTAGCAATTAAGTTTTGTTAATTATAGTGATTTTCACACTCTCAATATTTTTTAACGTACATTTATCCATTTATAAAAAATATTGACACTGATTAATCAGGAAGCATCTGATTAATGTATTTTAATTTTTAAATAAATGCTGTTGAATTAATCAAACTCTGGTTTCATACAATTTAGACATTCTCTATGCAATGTGAGGAAATGCTTTTGTTGGAAAATTATCAGAACAACAGACAAAAATGAGAGAGATATTTTTGTACTCTAAGCCATCATGTCTATGTTTACACACATTGATAACACATTTTAAGTTAACGATTATCCTTATCAGTAAGTGATTATATATTACCCCACAACCGACATCTTTATCATGATTGTCAGTGGATATGCTTAAGATTGTAGATACAATATAAGACTGGTAGATATTAGGAGTTGAATACTAAACCTCTGGTTTTCATTCACCAAATGTAAAACAGATACTGACCTTTACACGTTGGGAAACTAGGGGACCATCCAAAGTGATAACATTGAACTGAATCTGGTCCAACTCTGTGTCCTCGTTGGCAAGAAAAGTTCAACAAATCTCCAATTTTATATTTCTCCTTCTTGGGATTGACGAGCAAGTTTTGGTCAAGAAATGGAATGCTGCATTCTCTTTCTTGAAACGCAGAATAATTAGAGTACGTATTTAATCAAGAAGTAGTTTTATCTCTCTCATGTACAATCTCAGGGTAACATCAGTAACCCTATTCTTATGAATAATGCTGCATATTACATTTTATATTGTCCCTAAAGTTACATGGATGTCTGAGAAATATATGGTGATATAATATATTTGTTACAAAACTAAATAATAAAATTAATTTATTTTTAATAGATCTGAATTGCTGCTGAAAATTATTGATGTTTAGTTCACAATTACCCTATTCTGAATTTACAGAATCATCCTTTCATATTTGAAATTAATGCTATACAGTATATTCTGTGACATTTTTAAACAATATTTTATATTAATATTCTTGAAAAGTAGAACAAGCAAAATAATTTCTAATATATTTGAAGTTAGGACAATAAAATTAGTATATTTTAAAATTAAAAAAGAACATAAGAAACATGTACAAAACCATATTATTAGTTGAGCATTTAAATATTTGCAACACACTAATTTTGTTGTAATTTCAATTCTCATTTTTAACCCTTAATAATTCTTACTCAAATTAAGAATATGTAACATTCTCCATCACAGTTAATATTTTTAGTATATGTTTTAGTATAAAAACATATGTTTTATTATACTTTCTTGGTATTACTTATGTTTACAAATAAAGCTATTTTTAATTGATTTTTATCAAGCTCTACATTTTTCTCTGCTCTCCTTCCTGTCTCTTCCAAGGTCCCCATGCTCCCAATTTACTCAGGAGATCTTGTTTTTTTCTGCTTCCCATGTAGATTAGATCTATGTATGTCTCCCTCTTAGAGTCCTCATTGTTGTCTAGGTTCTCTGGGATTGTGATTTCTGGCTGGTTGTTATTGCTTTATGTTTAAAAACCACTTATGAGTGAGCACATGTGATATAGGTCTTTCTGTGTCTGGGTTACCTCACTCAAAATGATGTTTTCTAGCTCCATCCGTTTGCCTGCAAAATTCAAGATGTCATTTTTTTCTCTTGTGTAGTACTCCATTGTGTAAATGCACCACATTTTCCTTATCCATTCTTCAGTTGAGAGGCAGTTAGGTTGTTTCATTCTGGCTATGAAAAACAATGTTGCTATGAACAGAGTTGAGCACATGTTCTTGTGGCTCCATTGAGCATCCTTTGGATATATACCCAGAAATGGTATTACTGTGTCTTGAGGAAGGTTGTTTCCTAATTTTCTAAGAAATTACCACACTGACATACAAATGGGCTGTACCAATTTGCACTCCCATCATCAATGCAGGAGTGTTCCCTTTACCCTACAAACTCTCCAGCATAAGTTGTCATCAGTGTTTTTGAACTTGGCCATTTTTACAGTTGTAAAATGGAATCACAGAGTTGTTTTGATTTGCATTTCTCTGAAAACTAAGGATGTTGAACATTTTCTTGAGTGTCTTTCAGCCATTTTAGATTCCTCTGTTGAGAGTTCTCTGTTTAGGTCTGAACTCCATTTTTTTATTGGATTATTTGTTCTTTTGATGACCAATTTCTTGAATTCTTTGTATATTAGGATACAAGACCTCTGTCTGAAGTGGCATTAGTGAAGATCGTTTTTTCCCATTCTGTAGGCTGTAGTTTTGTCTTGTTGACCATGTCCTTTGCTTTACAGAAGCTTTTCAGTTTCAGGAAGTCCCATTTATTAATTGTTTCTCTCAGTATCTGTGCTACTGAGGTTATATTTACGAAGTGGTCTCCTGTCCCAATGCATTCTAGTGTACTTCCCACTTTCTCTTAAATAAGGTTCAGTGTTGCTGACTTTATGTGAGATAATAGATATGGATCTATTTTCATTCTTATCCATGTTGATATCTAGTTATGCCAGAACCATTTGCTAAAAATGCTTTCTTTTTTCCACTTGATATGTTTTGATTCTTTGTCAAAAATCATATTTTCAAAAGCGTGTGAATTTATATCCAGGTTTTCTATTCAGTTCATTAGTCTTCCTGTCTGTTTTTATGCCAGTACCAGGCTGTTTTCATTACTGCAGCTTTGTAGCAGACTTTGAAGTCAGGGATTGTGATGCCTCCAGAAGTTCTTTTATTGTACAGGATATTTTTCGCTATCCTGGGTTTTTTACTTTTTCATATGAAGTTAAGTACCATTGTTACAAGTTCTGTGAAGAATTTTGCTGGGATTTTGCTGGGCATTGCATTGAATCTGTAGATTGCTTTCAGTAAGATTGCCATTTTTACTATGTTAACTCTAGCTACCCAAGAGCATGGGATATCTTTCCACATTTGGTGTCTTCTTCAATTTATTTCTTCAAAGACTTAAATTTCTTGTATTACAAGTCTTCCAGTTGTTTAGTTAGAGTGAGTTACTCCAAGATATTTTATGCTACTTATGGCTATTGTGAAGGTTGATGTTTCTCTGATTTTTTCACAGCCCATTTAGCATCTGTGTACAGGAAGGCTACTGATTTTTTTTGAGTTAATCTTGTGTCCTGCTACATGACTGAACATGTTTATGAGTTGTAGAAGTTCCTTGGTAGAATTTTTGAGTCACTTATGTAAACTATCATATCATCAGCTAATAGTGAGAGTTTGACTTCTTCTTTTCCAATTTGTATTCCCTTGATCTCTTCCTGGTATTTTATTGCTCTAGCTCAAGAACTATATTGAATAGATATGGAGAAAGTGGCCAACCTTGTCTTGTTCCTGATTTTGGTGGGATCACTGGGAATTTCTCTCCATTTAGTGTGATGTTAGCTCTTGGCTTGCTGTATATATAACCTTTATTATGTTTAGGTATGTTTCTTGTATCCCTGCTCTCTGCAAGACTTTTATCATGAAGGGATGTTGTATTTTGTTGAAAGCTTTTTTGGCATCTAATGAAATAATCAGGCATTTTATATTTTTCAGTTTGTTTATATGGTGGATTACTCTGACAGATTTTCATATGTTGAACCATGCCTGCATCTCTGGAATGAAGCTGACTTGATCATGGTAGATAATGGTTCTGACATGTTCTTGGATTTGATTTGCCAGTATCTTATTGAGTATTTTTGCACTCACATAATTAACAAACCTAAATCAAATTGAACACCTAATCCTGAAGGGTTTAAACTTTCCCACTTGTACAACTTAATTAGATTTTTAGTTCTTTGAGAGGGGCAAATTGTCTCTCCAAAAAGGGGTCATTTTTAACATATTTAGGGATAAGGAAGAGATCACAGGCATGAGCCAGCACCATAATGTCTCAAGGACAGTTCCTGCAACTCTCTTGAAACTTACCCAAGTATGTCCAAAGATATAATCTCAATCATTTCAAAATACACTACTTTAACTGCTGCTTGCTTAACCAAACCAATTATGTTTGAGATGATTAAACTATCACTTAAATTCCTCTATCTGTGTTTAAAAGGAGCCAGCACACTCCATTCAGGATCATCACCATTTTGTATAGGTGAAGGACCACATGCATGTTGAAATATCCACAAATGCCCTTTGTTCTTGTGTACTATTTGAGTCTGGGTTCTTCTTTCAGTGTATTCTCAGACCCTACAATCCTAACATGGGGTACCCTTGTATTTTTATAAACCACCATTTTCCTATGTGCCTTGTCTGTCTCCTTTCTATCCAGAGGTGGTCCTTTGTCCTGAATCAATTCCTTTTTCTTTCACTTTCAATTTTTTCTCTTCCCAATCATCCACTCTTTACTTTCCACTCTTTAAATTTATATGGCATTGTTTCATACCTCAAATCATAAATTTTATAATGGAGTGTAAAAGGATCAGCGAGCCGCTTCACACCACCCGGCTCCCGGTAGTCAGCTAGCTTTATTCAATATAATTACATGAAAACTGTATTCATTTAAACACTGCCTGGCCAATTAGTTCTAGCCTTTTATTGGCTAATTCTCACATCTTGGTTAACCCATTTCTAATAATATGCATAGCACCATGAGGTGGTGGCTTACCGGGAAAGATTCTAACCTACGTTCATCTCTGACCAGAGCTTCATGGCATCTGCCTGACTCTTTCTTCCTCTCAGAATTCTGTTCTCTCTACTCCACCTATCTAAGCTGTTGTTCTATCAAAAGGCCAAGGCAGTTTCTTTATTAACCAATGAAAGTAAGACATAGACAGAAGACCCTCCCACATCAATGGAGACCTAGTTTAAATAACTAAGAGTATGCCTTTATGATAATTAAACAATTTTTTATACTTTAATCAGAGATACTTGATATACACATCATAAAAAGACATAATTAATTTATTTTATTTGTTTGTATATGGAAGCAGGGACTCAACACATAACCCAACATATCCTCAAACTTAAAATCTCTTGTTCCAGCGTCATAAGAATCAAAAGAATATGGTACCTACATCTGATGAATACATTAATTTAAATACAGATTATCAGGACACTGAGATCACTCAGTCAGTAAGAAAGCTTGCCTCCAAACATGGTGACAGGAGTTCACTCCCTAGGATTCACATGATGAAAAAAGCTGACAAACAAGTTCTATGACATCTTCATGTGTAACGTGGTATGCACACCTCCATAGATATGCACATGCACTCACTGTGCACATACAGGATAAATAAATGAATGTAATGAAATAATAAAATCAAATATGATCATATTTAGTCCTGAAAAATGTCCTTTCTCTCAGTTTACATTAAATCAAAAGAAAGATTCTAGAAAGTTCCCTTTTTTAAGTAATACATAAATATTTTTGTTTTGTTAAAAAAAAAACAGAGGAAATAGTACTTACCATAACATGAGGGTCTATCAGACCATCCATCATAATTACATATTATGGATCCTTTGGTATCTTTATATCTGTTCTCATATCCAACATGGCATTCATAGTCTAATTTGTCATTGAGTTTAAACCATGTGCTATTGTTTTTAGTCACAGCATTCTCAAATAGAGGCCTATCACAAGACTCTAATGCAAAAGAAAATGGAAGATTTCATTTGTCAGTGTCAATGGGCAAACTAAGAAGTTGCCATGCGAGCAAAATTAGTCCCAGGTTAATGTGTAAAAGCAATTCAATATTGTATAAAAACTCCCTTAGAAGACCAACAAGAAATCATTTTCCTGAAACAGTTATTGAATGAAAAGTACATCCCTATTAGCATTTATCTCCTCAGTTAAGTTTCATAAAACTTTATTTTAAAAATCATTTCTCAGCTCATTTTTCCCTATATTTATTATACACTGCAAATAAATGGACAAGTGTAGATGTATTTAGTTTTAGGGAACTGCAGTAACATTTTGTGAATTAAAGTCCTATATTTAGTAGTTTATAGTAACATAAAATTCATAAAAGTAGATTAGTTAAATTTGAAACAGGCATTTACTATATCATACCAAAGTATTTTTATATTATTTTACAGTAAGAAAATCCAAAAAGTCTTGTTAATTAAAATTTAATATACATGAATATTACATGGGAAAAATTTTAATTGCTTTTTCTTTAAATAAGTCCTGTAAAAGTACAGTAAATAAAGAATAGAAATTAAGAAAGCAGCAAGTATCTTAAATCACATTATCATTTAAGTTACATTGAATAGTTCTTGAAAATAGCACTGGTTAGCTTTCTCATAAGTAAGACAAGCAGAACTAATCATTCTTAGAAAACTTTCATTAACTGTAGGTCCTAACAAATCAAAATTGGTACTACCTAGAAACATTTCTTTCTTTCCAATATCAAGATATTTGGGAAGAATTTCTAAGGGGGAGACATTCTGAAATGGACCTTAACTGATAGTGTCAAATATACATTATAAGGTTATCATACATTCTGAGATTTAAAACATGGATATATCTTTACATAAAACTTTACATTTATATCTAGGAGCAATGGATTTGATATGTAAGGCAGACCTTTTAAAAGGCAGCTGGTCAAAAATCCTTTACTATATTTAAAACTATAGGGTATTTTAAACCATTGAAAGGGAAATGAGCCGATACTCTACAATATAAAAATGAGTCCAAAAATAAAAACAAATAGTGAAATCTTTTCCTTGAAGTTTGAAACTCATCATGAAGCAAGATCAGCCACCTCAAAGAAGAATAAAGTTAAACCCTGATACATCAGCTCTATAATGACAGCAATATAATGGAGTACTCACTGATGCATGAGGGTTGAGCTGACCATCCATTTTGGAGGCAGGTAATTGTTCCTGATGTCTCTCCATTCGATGTTACAAATCCCTGTTTACACCTATACTGTGTTTTTCTGTTTAGATCATATGTGCTAGCATATTCAGAAAAAAATCCATTCTCAATTTCTATATCTGACTTTGAACATGTTTCTAAAAGGGAAAAAAAGTAAGAAAAAGTTGAGTGCGTTCTCAGTAACTTAAGGGTTTACAATACAAAAAATATATTAAAAATACCCATTAGTCACTTGTACTTGAAGATTTGAAATAATCGAAATCATTCACATTACTGAACAAAGGAAAACAAATAAAAAGTTTAAAGACACACAATACCTTGCTCAAATTTTTTCCTAACATAGCAAGATTTAAACCACTCAAAATTTCATCTAAAAAAGGATGTTAAATTTTTTGTCCAATTGTATTCACAGCTCTACAGAAAGTCAGAACTCTGAACATTTTTTTTTACTTGTAGTTTCTTTAAACCTAAAAATAATTGACTCTCTTAGGTTAATTTACCCAATAGGGTTCCTGGGGTTGTGTAAAAATCTTGGAAAATTTATCTACATAGTTGCTACAGAGTCCAGTGACAAGAATTTAAAATGTGTTAGTAACCTCATGCCTAAAAGAATAAATTTTGTAATATGCAAACATATTTGTATATAAAATAAACTTTACATATTGATACTGTAAAAAGATCCTCAAGTTAGTAGCATTTAAACAAATTTAGCAGAGATGAGTAAAGACAGAACAAATTACTAATATCAGCAATGATGGGAATTAAATCATATTTATTTTTACCTATTTTAAAAGACCAATTGGAATATTATAGACATCCATGTCAATTAACTTGATAAGTTAAAAATTAATGGAATTTAAAAGCCATGGACTACATAAGTCACTCAAGAAAAGCATTTAATGTGAATATAACTGCTTCAATATGAAAAACATGTACAAACTAAGTACATTATAGAAGAAGAAACAGAAAGATTGTGAGAACCAGGATATCTGCGATGAGATAGTGTCTTTTTATATATGACAGGGAACATGCACTCACAAAATCTCAGAAAACAAGTTGTTTAGTACAATAGAAGTAGGCATGCCAATGCACATGGATAAATTTTCAACAGCTCAATCCCTACACTAAGAGCTATATGTAATTAATGTTTGCTGACAGACAAAAAATCAGTCTTCTCTTGGAATGGTTCTACCCAATAAGTTATTCAATCTATAGTGACCAGGCCTAAATATATGTACATTCAAGCATTAGGAACCACAAATACAAGTATAAATAGCAGAATACAAAATATGGAAGAAAGAATCTCAGGTGCTGAAGATTTAATAGACGAAGTAGACACATCAGTCAAAGAAAATATTAAATCTAACAAAAGCTTAACACAAAATATCCAGGAATATGGAACATCATTAAAAGGTCAAAGAATAATAGGTGTAAAAGAAGGAAAAGTACAACTCAAAAGCATAGAAAATATATTTTAAAAAATCACAGAAGGGAACTTTCCCAACCTAAGGAAGGATACGCCTATAGAGTTTACAGAACATCAAATATACTGGATTAAAAAAAGTCCCAATGCTACATAATAATGAAAACAATAACATACATAATAAAGAAAGAATATTAAGAACTTCCAATGAAAAAATGCCAAGTAACATATAATGGCAGACCTATCAGAATTACACCTGACTTCTCAATGGAAACAATGAAATCCAGAAGGTCCTGGTCAAGCATTATGCAGACATTAAGAGACCATGGATGCCAGACTACTATACCCAGAAAAACTTTCAATCACCATAGAAGGTAAAAGTAAGATATTCCACTACAGAACCAATACCTAGCCACAAACTCAGCCCTACATAAAGAACTAGAAGGAAACTCCAACCCAAGGAAGCTGGTTTACATGAAAAAAAAATCCACAAAAATTAGATGATCTCATAGCAACAAATCCAAAAGAAGAGAAAACACACCAAATAACATCACAAAGAATGAAAACAAAGATAACAGGAGATAGCAATCACTGGTCATTAATATCCTTTACTACAAATAAACTCAACTCGCTCATAAAAAGGCACAGGCTAACATATTAGATATGAAAACAAAATCCATCTTTCTACTGCATATAAGAAACACACCTCAAACACAATGATAGACATCACCTAAGAGTAAAGAGATGGAAAAAAATTCCAATCAGTTGGAGCTATAAAACAAACAGGTGTAGCTATCCTTATATCTAACTAAAATATCCTTATATCAAACTAAAATCAATCAAAGGAGACAAAGAAGGACATTTCATATTATTCACTGGAAAAATCCAACAAGAGGAAATCTCAATACTGAACATCTATGCCCTGAATACAAGGGAACCATTAGAAACACTACTTAATTATAAATTGTACATTAAACCCCACACAATAATAGTGGGAGACTTCAAAACCCTACTTTCACCATTGACAGGTCTGTCAGACAGAAAATTAACAGAAGAATAAGGGAACTATCAGATGTTATGATTGAAATAAACTTAAAAGACATCTATAGAACTTTCCACCCAAACATAAAAGAACATACTTTCTTCTTAGCACCTCATGGGGCCTTATCAAACATTGGCCAAATACTAGGTAACAAACAAACCTCAACAGCTACAAAAATATTGGAATAATCCTATGTATCTTAAGCACCATGGCTTAAAATTAAAATTTGACAGCAACCCTAACTCCAGAACCTCACAAACACATGGAAATTAAACAATGCTCACCTGAAGCATCAATGGGTCAAAGAAGAAGCGAAGGAAAAACTTAATGAATTCCTAAAATTCAATGAAAATGACCACATAACATACCCAAATTTATGTGACACAACGAAAGCAGTGCTAAGAGGAAAGTTCATAGCACTAACTGCCTACATAAAAAAAGCTAAAGAAATCCCACACTAGTGAATTAACAGAACATTTGACAACTCTAGCGGAAAAAGAAGAAAATTCACCCAGGAGAACTGGTGGCAGGAAATAATCAAATTGATAGCTGAAACAACAAAATAGAAACAAACAAAACAATACAAGGAATCAATTAGACAAGGAGTTGGTTCTTTGAGAAAATCAACAAAATAGACAAATGTGTATCCTAACTGACCAAAAGGCAGAGAGAAAATATCCAAAGTAACAAAATCAGAAATAAAAAGGGGGCCATAAAACAGACACAGAGAAAAACCAGAGAAACATTTGGTCATATTTCAAAAAACTGTATTCCACAAAACTGGGAAACTTAAAAAAAAAGGACCACTTTCTTGATAAATATCACTTAGTAAATTTAAATCAAGACTAGATAAGCAAATTAAATAGATCTATAAATGCTAAAGAAATAGAAGCAATCATCAAAAGTCTCCCAACCAAAAAGAGCTCAGGACTAGATTGATTCAGTACAGAATTCTACAAGATTTTCAAGGAAGAAATAATACCAATACCAATACTTCTCAACTTATTCCACACAATAGAAACAGAAGAAACATTGTCAAACTCTTTTTATTAGGCTATCATTAACCTGACACCCAATCCACATAAAAGCGTTACAAAGAAAGAAAATTACAGACAAATCTCACTCATGAATATTGATATAAAAATACTCAATAAGATATTGACAAATTGAACCCAAAAACACATCAGAAAAATCATCCTCCATAATCAAGTCAGCTTCATCCTAGAGATGTAGGGGTGGTTCAACATACAGAAATCAGTCAATATAATTCACCATATAAGCAAACTGAAAAATAAAAGCCATATTATCATCTCATTAGATGCTGAAAAAAACCTTTGATAAAATACAATATCCCTTAATGATAAAGGTCTTGGAGAGAGCAGGGTTATAAGGAACATACCTAAACATAATAAAGACAATATACAGCAAGTAAACAGCCAATATCAAACTAAATGGAGAGAAACTCACAGTGATTCTACTGAAATCAGGAACAAGACAAGGTTGTCTACTCTCTCCATATCTATGCAATATAGCTCTTGAGTTTATAGCTAGAGAAATAAGAAAAAAAAAGATCAAGGGGATACAAATTGGAAAAAAAAGAAGTCAAACTCTTACTGTTTGCTGATAATATGATAGTTTACTTAAGTAGCCCCAAAAATTCTACCAGGGGATGTCTGCAACTTGTAGTGTGGGGCCTGTAGTCATGTAGCAGGATACACGATAAATTCAAAAAAAAATCAGGAATCCTCATTTACGCAGATGAGAATGAAATGGGCTGAGAAAAAAAATCAGAGAAATATCACCCTTCACAATAGCCACAAATAGCATAAAATATCGCAGAGTAACTCTAAGCAAACAAGTGGAAGACCTGTATGACAAAAACTTTAAATCTTTGAAGAAAGAAATTAAAGACACCAGAATAAGGAAAGATCTTCCATGCTCTCGGGTAAGTAAAATTAACATAATAAAAATGGCAATATTACCAAAAGCAATCCACAGATTCCATGAAATGCCCAGCAAAATTCCTCCAGACCTTGAAATAACAGTACTCAACTTTATATGGAAAAGCAAAAAATTCAGGATAGTCAAGACAAACATGTACAATACTGAAACTTCTGGAGGCATCACACTCCCTGACTTCAAACTCTAATTCAGAGCTATAGTACTGAAAGCAGCCTAGTATTGGCATAAAAAGAGGCAGAAGGACTGATGGAACTGAATCAAAGATCAGATATTAATTTCCACACCTACAAATACCTGATTTTTGATGAAGAAGCAAAAAATATAATGTGGAAAAAATAAAGCATATTTAACAAGTGCTGCTGGCATAACTAGATATCAACATGTAGAAGAATGAAAATGGATTCATATCTATCATCATGAACAAAACACAAGTCCAAATGGATCAAAGAGCTCAACATAAAGCCAACAACACTGAACCTCACAGAAGAGAAAGTGGGAAGTACACTTGAATGCATTGGCATTGGAGACCACTTCTTAATTAAAACCCCAGTGGCAAAGACAGAGAGAAACAATTAATAAATGGGACCTACTGAAACTGAAATGCTTTTGTAAAGCAAATGACATGGTCAACAAGACAAAACAGTAGCCTTAATAATGGGAAAAGATCTTCACCAACCTCATATCAAACAGAGGACTGATCTCCAAAATATACAAATAACTCAAAAAACTGGTCATCAAAAGAACAAATAATCCAATAAAAAATCGAGTATGTCTATCACCATGCACAAAACTCAGGTTGAAATGGATCAAAGACCTCAACACAAAGCCAGCCACACTGAAGCTTATAGAAGTACACTTGAGTGCATTGGGACAGGAAACCACCCCAGCAGCACAGACATTGAGAAACAATTAATAAATGGGATGTCTTGAAACTTCAACGCTTCTGTAAAACAAAGAGCACAGTCAACAAGACGAAACAACAGCCTACAGAATGGGAAAAAGATATTCACTGAGCCCACATCAGAGAGGTCTGATCTCCAAAATATACAAAGAACTCAAGAAATTGGTTATCAAAAGAACAAACAATCCCATAAAAAATGGAGTACAGACCTAAACAGAGAACTCTCAACAGAAGAATTTAAAATGATTAAAAGACCCTTAAGGAAATGCTCAATATCCTTAGTTATCAGAGAAATGCAAAACAAAACAACTCTGAGGTTTCATCTTACACCTGTAAGAATGGCCAAGATCAAAAATACTGATGACAACTTATGCTGGAGAAGTTGTAGGGTAAAGAGAACACTCCTGCATTGCTGGTGGGAATGCAAGCTGGTACAACCAATTTGTATGTCAGTGTGGTAATTTCTTAGAAAATTAGGAAACAACCTTCCTCAAGACCCAGCAATACCACTTTTGGGTATATATCCAAAATATGCTCAATCGTGCCACCAGGACATGTGGTCAACTATGTTCATAGCAGCATTGTTTATTATAACCAGAAACTGGAAAAAAATCTAAATGCTCTTCAACCGAAGACTGGATAAAGAAAATGTGGTAAATTTACACAATGGAGTACTACACAGCAGAAAAAAAATAACATCTTGAATTTTGCAGGCAAATAGATGGAGCTAGAAAACATCATTTTGAGTGAGGTAACCCAGACACAGAAACACCTATATCACATGTACTCACTCATAAGTGGTTTTTAAACATAAAGCAATGAAAACCATCCCAGAAATCACAATACCAGAGAACCTAGACAACAATGAGGACCCTAAGAGGGAGACATACATAGATTTAATCTACATGGGAAGTAGAAAAAGACAAGATCTCCTGAGTAAATTGGGAGCATGGGGGTTTTGGGAGAGGCTTGAAGCTGGGGGAGAGTTAGGGTAAAGAGCAGAGAAAAATTTAGAGCTCAATAAAAACAATTTAAAAAATGGGGTACAGCCCTAAACAGAGAATTCTCACCAAATTAATCTAAAATGACTAAAATACAGTTAAAGAAATGCTTGAAATTCTTAGCTATCAGAGAAAGTAGGAAGATAAAATTAAAGGGCAATAATATGATCCTAGCCTGATGTGCTGAGGTTATGAAATCTCAGTCTCCTAATACTTAAAAGGAAACAGTCAACTAAAGCTTGTTGTTATGTGTTAAGTTGGGAGCATAGACCCCAGACCCTGGCATCTATCACAGACCCCAGGCCAGCAAGTTGTATTGATCTGGACTCCAAATCCCAGGATGCCAGGTCCTGATCCCTCTCTGGAAATCTGGGGATCAAGACCACTCCCACAGGGTATTTAAATGAACTCCCAAAAGAGGAACACATGGTCCCTTTTCCTTTCCCCTGATGGTCCTGTTCACAGCCTCCTGGTTCCCCCTCAGAGCCACCCAAGCAAGAGCGCAGAACTCCCATTAAACCTGGATATTTCTTCATTTGGCCTGTTTTAATATGGCTTGATTGGGATTTTGCATCGGCAGAGAGCTCACGTTAGGAAAAATTCCTAACATTATGGAATAAAAATGTCCCAAACATTCTGAAAATCCACATGCCAGATACTTACAAACTTAATCATGCACATGCCAAGGTACTTATAAATTTCAGTTTTAGACATTTATCTAAGAAATACATTATAAATTTTAATCCAATGACATATCTTTAAATCTTTGTAAATGGCTCAAAAATTAGTGAACTTTTTCCTTAAAATGGTGTATACAACTAAATTATTATATATCTATGTAAAGTTATCTCTCAACAGTAAAAGTCATTAACTATACAAGCCACAGTATAGAAGAATGGAACAGATATTCTACTGAAAATTTAAGTTTGAAAACATGATACATAAATCTATTGATATGAAGAAGTAGGAACACAACACTATAGTAACAAAAAGAAATGTTATTACTTATGGTGGTAGAGTTGAAGAGAAAGGGAACAAGAGAAATTCTTCATTAGATTAAGACTAGTTTAACTTGATGGGTTGTATTCATATAAGCACACTCATTTGTCAATATCACTGGCCTGAACTCTAAACATATTTGAACTATTCCTGAATAGAAATGATTTTTCACAGGTAAATCCTGTGAAAGTTTGCATGAAAACTGTAAGTTGTTTTAAGATATTTCTGAGTTTCTAGGAGAAATAAAGCTAAAACAATTTACTTGGATAGGATTTTTATAAAAGGGAAGGACACAGAAATATGAAAAATCAGTGTTTTCATATAGATCATCACTATTAACAAAAACACTAGGAAACATTTATAAAATTAAAAATATGAGCAAAACCAGCTTGTTGAAAAGGATATCAAATAAGAACTCAGTAGAAATTTTAAGCAGGTCACTAATATTAAGCATATAAAATTTTAAATTACTGAATATAAAAGTTTTTAGAGATTAAATACATAATGTACAGTTTCAAAAAATAATGCTAACAAAAGTTTCTCATCAATAAAGTGGTACAATAGAAGGCAGTTGACAAACATTCAAAAACAGATTAAACTTTTAAATATATATTTAATTTGTAAAAAGGAATACTCAGCATGATTATGTAACTAATTATTTTAAAATTGTTATGAAAATTCAATATAGTGTCCTTCAAATCTAACCAAAGTTATTCAAATGATGTTGAAAATCTATATTAAGTAAAGAAGATGTGCAACTCAGTCTGATCTTTAGAATCTTAATATTGCAACAAACTAATTACAAGTGCATTGATTAAAAAATCTGTCCTTGAAAATTATTTATTGCAAATTGACTTAGAATTATATTTTAAAACCCAAATGATAAAGAAATAAATTCAAATCTGCACTATTATGTTTATCATTTTATAGACATTTATTTTGAAACTAAAGTATGACACCACACAGTCACTTAAAGAACATTGACCATGAAGTAACTGTCAATACAAACATATTAGCCAGAGTAATATAAAACTTGAAAATTAGACAATACACAATATCTCAGAATTGCCTTCCCAGTTACAAATCACAAAAGATTCAGAGGCAATTATCAATTCTTTAAAATGGCAAGTCACAGATCATATATGAATAATCTGTATAGCTATTATCATATTAGTTTTATTTTAAACTATATTTTTATAATTATTTTGATTCCAATGATAAAATGTTTTCAAAGTCTATAAAACTATAAATTAACCAAAGTTTAGTCAGTATTTTGTTTTAATGGCTGATTGTTGTGTTTACATTGCTATATACTTGCCAATACTCCTTGGTATTCACGCATTCACACACAAAAAGAAACATTTTGACACATTTAATATGCATGGCTTGGGGACACAAGAGCATCTTGTGATCTATGAGCCAGTTACTTACTGACACGGATGCATTTGGGTTGAGGAGACCAGCCGTTTTCTGTGCATGTAACTATGTCCTGATCATTTGGGAGACTGTAGCCAGAGTGACACCAGACTCTTACAGACTCATCCTGTATGTAGTCTCCTCTCCGTTGTAAAACTTCCCCATTCTCTATATAATGGATTCCACATACCTCTAAGGAACATAAATTTACCATAAATGTTAAATTCAAAACAACACTCATTTATTTTTTTAAATAAAACTAAAGTTTAACTTTACAATAGTTAAATAAGTATGCGTGACATTCAAAAATGAAAACAATACGAAATGTTTCAAAAGTAGCATTATCTTTAATTTTTGTAAATAAAATATGCAAGCAATAAAGGTATTCTCATAATCCCTATTTTTCACATACATTTTATGAAGAGTGGCTCATAAAGGACAAAAACTAGTCTTTTTGCTCACAAACTCTTTTGTTTCTTAACAGAAGAGACTTAACTGTTATTATATATGTGATCTTTTCTTTCTAGTCTTTGACAGAATTAAACATGATTTGATACAGACATTGACTTACTGCGGCATGGGACTGCAGGCTCCCACCCTTGTACAGTGCAGCGAATTTTGTCCCAGTATTCCCTTGAGGGAGTTACAAATCCTGGGTTGCAATGGTAGTAGTACCACTCTTTTCTTTCTGTTGTGTAGTAGCGTTTGATCCAGTGTTCTCTATATAGTTCTCCATTTTTGATTTGTGGAAAAGCGCAAGGTTGATCTTGCAATAAAAACAAAAAGACAGAAAAGCACTCATATCAGAGATAAACCACTCGATCAGTGAATTAGTTTCTAATAACTAAAATAACTGTAAGTCTAGAGAGTGTTCAGAGAAGGAGACAGATAGAATCCAGACTGCTGAGGTATGTGAGGAGGTCTTTCCTCAGGAAATCAAGTTATGCCTCACATGTTACCAGAGAAGTGGGTCAGGGATATTTGTTAATATCCAGTATGATAATTGAATATTTATAATTTTTATCAGAACTAAAATATAATGTGATTAAATCACAGTGAAATATTTTTGTAAATTCATATTGAAATATATATTGTTTGTTGCATTAATGAATTTATATGTAATGTTTCATTAATTTTTTCCTTTTCATGTTCTTATTTATAAATAATAAATATTTTAATATCAGAATAGTATAATTGATGTAGGAGGGTCTTCTTTCTATGTGTTGCTTTCATTGATCAGATAAAGCGACTGCCTTGACCTTTTGATAAAACAGCAGCTTAGATAGGCAGAGTAGACCGAACAGAATGCTGGGAAAGAACGCAGAGTCAGGCAGATGCCATGGCTCTCCTCTCTGAGACGGACATAGGTTAGACTCATTCCTGTAAGCTACAGTCACGTGGTGATATGCAGATTATTAGAAATGGGTTAATTAAGATGTGAGAGTTAGCCATGGAGAGGCTAGATATAATGGGCCAGGGAATGTTTAAGTGAATACAGTTTCCATGTAATTATTTGGTCTAATCTACATGGAAAGTAGAAAATTAGATCAATGTATGTCTCTCTTACGGTCCTCATTGTTGTCTATGTTCGCTAGGATTGTGATTTGTGTGGGTTGATTTTCTTTGTTTTATGTTTAAAAGCCACTTATGAGTGAGTACATGTGATAATTGTCTTTCAGGGTCTGGGTTATCTCACACAAAATGACTGCACCATGGCTTAAAATTAGAGTTCTAGATTTACACAGCTTCTTTATTTCTTTCTGTATACCTGATGTTCTCCCCAACCATTAGCTTCTTTTTGTCATTGTCTGACTAACTTCTATATAGTGTTCAAAACCTGCCTACATGAGCCTCCATGCCTGTGACTTCAGCATGTTGGAGAAAGTAGATTGTGAGTTGCGGCCAGTTTGTGCTATTTAGTCTGACACTGTTTCAGAGAAGCAAGACAAACCTAAAACAGCAAAAATATTTCTAGTCAAATGTTATCCTCTCCCCCTTCATGACTCATTCTAATTATTTATTTTTAAAATTTATTTTAAAATTAGTATACAAATGGTTATATTTTATTTTATTATTGTCCCCCACCCAATCCCACCTGACAGAGATTTGCTCTGTAGTCCTGGCTGTCCTGGAAATCACTTTGAAGATGAAGCTGTCCTTGAAGTCACAAGGCTTCTGCCTCTCTAGTACTGGAGTTCAGGCATTCACCATCCAACCTGGCTCTTCTTATGGCTTTTCAAAATAGTTTTATTTCATTCTCTCAGCTCCTTCCTCTACATTGTGCCCACCTACACCAGTGTTCTTTTAGGTTTCATGTCATGTGTTTTTTCATCACCCCATCCTCCACCTTACCTTTTCCATTTCTAGTTTTATGTCCTCTACAGAATTCCCACCCACATTTGTACATATATACACATATACATTATATCAAACAGATAAATATTAGGTATCTGCATTAAAATCAGGATGTAAATAAAAAAGGGAAGATGCAGTGGTTGTCTCTGATTCTGGATTCATCCATTTTCTCATTAATTTCATAATTTTTAGTCTTTTGCAGATGAACAAAACTCCATTTTGTATATATAGCACACCTTTCCAACTTTCAATATCTGAATATTTAAATAGACTGTTATTCTTCTCCTGTACACTAAATGACTACATTTTGGAAGGTATAGTTGTACCACCTAGTACTTAGAAGTCATTGAAAAGTGAACCTGAATAAAAGAAAGGGTGAGCACAAACAGAACTGTAGAAGCATTATTGATTGCTTCTTCAGAAGGTTTTTGACAATCTGGAATTTAAAAGAATTTTTCCTCATTCTTCTAAGGAAGTACCAGCTATCTCTGTGAATTTGGTTGAGAAATGGTGATAGAAAACATGAGCAGCTGTTCCTGGATGTTGAATTGTAGTAATTTGGAGGCTAAGACTGGAAGACAAGGAGTATACGGCCATCTAGGGTCAGAAGATAAAACTCTATCTCAAACAATTATAGTGAAGAATGAAAGAAAAGTGGCAGATGTGGTTTGCAGTTATGATGTAGTGGCCTAATGGTGGTGGCACATGCCTTTTAAAAACTGATTTTATTGAGCTATACATTTTTCTCATCTCCCCTTTCTTTCTACCTTCTCCCATGATACCCATGCTCCCAATTTACTCAGGAGATCTTGTATTTTTCTACTTCCCATGCAAATTAGATTCATGTATGCCTCTCTTAGGGACATCATTGTTGTCTAGATTCTCTGGGATTGTGAATTCTAGGCTGGTTTTCTTTGCTTTATGTAAAAAAGCCACTTATGAGTGAGTACATATAATATTTGTCTTTCTGGGTCTGGGTTAACTCACTCAATATGATGTTTTCTAAATTCATCCATTTGCCTTCAATTTTCAAGATGTTGTTATTTTTTTCTGCTGTGTAGTACTCCATTGTGTATATGTACCACATTTTCCTTATCCATTCTTTTGTCAAGGAATATTTAGGTTGTTTCCAGATTCTGGCTATGACAAAAAATGTTGCTATGAACATTGTTGAGCACATGTCCTTGTGGTATGATTAATCATCCTTTCGGTATATACTCAAAAGTGGTATTGCTGGGTCTTGGAGAAGACTGTTTCCTAATTTTATAAAAAATAGTCATATTGATATGCAAAGGGGCTGCACAACCTTTCACTCTCACCAGAAATACAGGGATGTTCTCTTTATCCCAGTCCTCTCCAGCATAAGTTGTCATCAGTGTTTTTGAACTTGGTCATTCTTACAGGTGTAAGATGGAGTCTCAAAGTTGTTTTGATTTCCATTTCTCTGATGGTTTGTTGTGGGAGGTCCCCCCGCTTCTCCAACCTATAGCTGCTGAGATACCAGCCCATTGGGGCGTGGTCTCTCTCCCTTTAAAAAAGCGGCCACTTCCCTTTCCTCTCTCTCTTCACTTCCTGCTCCACTGGCCACTAGACTCCCTTCCTGGTTGCACCTAGGGCTGGGACGGTGATCTGTAAGTTTTTTCCCCTTTAAATAAATACCACCCTATTAATCATAATTCCAAACTGGTGTGGCATTGTTTGTGACTTACGCCTTCAATTTGCACCCAACGTTTGGTTTTAGAACCTCTCCTTTCCCCACTCGGCTGCCGGCCGCAAATTCGGCTTTGCGGGAGCCTCCCTTCCTCAGCTGCCGCCTGTGCCTTGCAGCAGCGACCTTGGCCTCCCCACATGGATTTAAACTCCACAGGCCCGCATAGTCTCTGCCCGCGTGGTTTGCTCTTTTCTGAGTCGTTTTTAAATTTCCCTTGCAAGCACAGCTCTTAAGTGGAACGAACCAGAGCACGCGGTTGCTGAAAGCTGCAACCCCTCAGGGTGACTCTATCACGTGGAGGCATAAGCGGCTTCCAGGTTGCTCTTCTCTACCCCTGGATTCTGGGTTTCTGGTTCCGTCTCAGGAATTGATTTAATTACATTTACTTTGTTGAGAAACTTGCATTTTCCAGTTTTTAGCATCTACTAAGGCACTGAAACAGGACCCCGATTTCAACAGCGCCACCTGCTGGATAATAGGTAATATGGCAGTTTTCATTTCTAACACAAATTTTACTGCTTTGTTTTCACTAATACAATGGATTAGTAAATTTATATTTACTAATTCAATGGATTACATCATACAAGTTTTATATGATTATAAGGATACCTTAATTTGCTTGTTACTAGGCTTCAGTTTTCTTTTCCATATTCTATCATTAAGGAAGAATATGGCACTCCTAAGAACGATTGAATCTTTACGTACTAATAATGAACAGAAGAATATGGCACTCCTAAGAACGATAGAATCTTTACAAACTAATAATGAACAGAAGAATATGGCACTCCTAAGAACAATAGAATCTTTACAAACTAATAATGAACAACTAATTGACAGGATTAAAATTATTGAAAATCAGAGATTATCTGAACAAGTGGATACTATGACAGACAAAATTGATTCCATATCCAAGGGTATTAGAAAGTTACCTGAAAGGGTCCAGGCTATTGAATTTGACCTTCAGACTTTATCACAAAGTTTTGATAAGGTAACAGAAAGAATGTACCTCCAAGATGGGAATCTACATGATATACAAGAAAAGTTTAAGGAGGACATGTTATCTTTGAAGGAAAAAATTAAAGCTTTGGAATCACAGGTGCAGAATGGGGACCAAAAAATTGATACCTCAGTGAAATTACTGGAAATATATACAGGTCAGGAGATTCAGGATTTAAGAGAGACAATGATAAAAAGATTTGAAAAGATTGGAGAAATTATTGCAGCTGGTGAACAGAGTAAGGAGGCACAATGACAGGATACAATGCCTCCACCAGCTATTAGAACTGGCTTATGCAGGGTTCTAGCGACATGCCCTATACTTAATTCTGACAAAGCGTCAACTTCTAAAGGCTCAAAGGGAGTCAGAGAAGCTAGATGGACGCCAATAGCAATGAGTGATCTGAAAGAAATCAAGCAAGTTGTTGTTAATTTTGGCTTGAACAATGCATATGTAAAGGAAATGATAAGGACTTGGGCTTCTAATGCTAGAGCTACCCCCCATGATTTCCATCAGTTAGTGTCTGCAGTTTTAGATAATGGACCCTCCTTGATGTTTGGAATTTATTTCAGAGAAGAATCCAAACATATGGAACAGCAAGGAAGAGAAAAAAGTTTTGAGGTTTCCCAAGATCAAATTCTTGGTGCAGGAGAATATGCTGATCCACAGGTCCAAGCTCTTTATGATGATAAAGTACTGTGTC